CCCAACTACATCGGCAACAACCTCAAATCCATGCACCTCAGCGTCGCCGAAAGCCTCACAAAGCTGCGCACCTCCTACATCGACATCCTCTACCTCCACTGGTGGGACTGGGAGACGGGTGTCGAGGAGGTGATGAATGGGCTGCATAATCTCGTGGTGCAGGGGAAGGTGTTGTATTTGGTGCGTTTGATTTCGGATTATGTATTTCAACCTTTGAGTTTTAATTTGGTGCCGACTTGAAGGGCATATCGGACACCCCCGCGTGGATCGTCGCCCAAGCGAACCAATACGCCAAAGACCACGGCAAGACGCCGTTTGTGATCTACCAAGGCAGATGGAACGTCCTCGAGCGCTCCTTCGAGCGCGATATCATCCCCATGTGTCGGATGCATGGTATGCTGCTCTCGTCAATTATATCTCATCCCTATGACTTTCGTCCTTCTCCTTCTCCTTTTCTCCTCTCTCTTTTCCTCTTTTCTGTTTCTAGCTATTTATTTATCTCATCTCGTCTACCCAGGCCTGGCCCTCGCCCCCTGGGACGTCCTCGCCGCCGGCAAATTCCGCACCGACGCCGAAGAAGACGAACGCCGTCGCACAGGCGAGAAGGGCCGCACCATGTTCAACCCCAACTGGGAGCGCAACGAGAACGAGAAGAAGATGTCGTATGCGTTGGAGAAGGTCGCGGGGCAGGTGGGGACGGGGAGTATCACGGCTGGTGGGTGTTTTCTTCTCCTTATTGTTTTTTTTCTTCTCCTTGTTGTTTCTTTCTCCTTCTTCTCTTTGCTTATTCATTTCATTTCAATTCAACTTCCCCTGTAGTCGCAATCGCCTACGTCATGTCCAAAACACCGTACGTCTTCCCCATCCTCGGCGGCCGCAAAGTCGAACACCTCCTCGCCAACATCGAAGCGCTCGATATCTCGCTCTCGTCTGAGCAGATTGCGTTCTTGGAGAGCGTGGTGCCGTTCGATCCGGGGTTCCCGAGTACGATGATTGTGCGTCCATTCCTCCCTCTCCCCTCCCTACATGACGAATTTCTTCGAATCCATGTATTGAAATGTTTTTTTTTCTTTACCCAGGGCGATGGAACGAAAACGGGCCCTATGCTTGCGGGTAATGCGAATTTTGCGTTCCAGCCGCTCGTTCAGCCCATTGCCCATTCGCGCGCCGAGTGATGGTTCGAAGTTTTAAGTTGTTCGGTTCTTCCGAGTTGCGTTGTACAAGTATCTAGGTTGTGTTGAAAACATGCAAGTCTGGAGTGTTGCAAATGTTATATGACTTGTTGAAAGCTGGCTGTGGTTGAATGATCTAATTCTATAAGGCTATCGAGCATGCCTTGCTAGTACATAGCTGGTTTTTGAACTTCACCTCCAACGATGTCATGATCTCTGCTGAATGCTACTAAATACATGCTTTGCACTCATTTTTTTTTGTACATACTAGAATTCGCAATCCTTGGAACCTCGGTCCTCGCCCCGACAAGCCCCCATGTCCTCAATTTTTTGAGTGCGGAATTGGCTGCACGGGCGGCAGGAACGAAAAGTTCGCAGAAGCTTTGAACATTCTGGCCAGCTGCGTTCCGTCTCCCTGTTCGCCACCGTCAGGACAGTTACTTTAGACAAAGAAAATTGAACGCACAATTATGGTGTTTGGGAATCCGGGGTCGAACGGTACTACACTTTCCAGGAAGTCAATCTGCTCTGAAGAAAGAGAAATATCCAGTGCTTCGACGTTGGCGAGGAGGTGTTCAACTTTGCGGCCGCCGAGGATGGGGAACACATAGGGTGTTTTGGACATCACGTAGGCGATTGCGACTAGAAGTTGAACATTAGGAAACAAGATGAAAAGGAAAAGAAAAGACAACGCCACCCACCCGCAGTGATACTTTTCGTTCCGACCTCGCCCGCAACCTTCTCAAGCGCGTACGACATCTTTTTCTCAGTCTCGTTACGCTCCCAGTCAGGGCTGAATATCATGCGTCCTTTCTCGCCCGTGCGGCGACGTTCATCCTCTTCGGCGTCGGTGCGGAACTTGCCTGAGGCGAGGACGTCCCAGGGGGCTAGTGCCAGACCTGTCGTGATTCGAGTATTCGATTATACTGAATGCTTTCATGCAACGACATGCGGCCCACCTTGCGAACGACACATCGGGATGATATCGCGCTCAAACGAACGCTCGAGGACGTTCCATTTGCCTTGATAGATTACGAAGGGCGTCTTGCCGTGGTCTTTTGCGTATTGGTTGGCGAGGGCGACGACCCAGGCGGGAGTGTCAGAAACTCCCTTCAGAGCTTTCAGTCGAGGTTTCACAACAGAACGATGATATACATACCAGATACAACACTTTGCCCTGCACAACTAAATTGTGCAGCCCGTTCATCACCTCCTCAACGCCCGTCTCCCAATCCCACCAGTGCACATACAAGATATCGATGTAAGAGGTGCGCAGTTTCTTGAGGCTGGCTTCGACGCTGATGTGCATTGACTTGATGTTGTTTCCAACGTAGTGTGTTTTTTGGGTAATCGAGTCATCCCCGCGTTTCCAAGCGCTGGTGTACTGTTACGGTCTGCAGATTAGTTTTGTAGAACATACAGTCAATGGGAAAGATAACCTTGGTCGCAATGACAAGTTGATCGCGAATTCCCCGCTTCTCAGACCACTCGCCAATGAGCTTCTCCGATGTTTCGCTCTGACTTCAGAGGTGTATCAGCAATAGTTCAGAAGAATCAAAAGAGGGACTTACTAGCCATTGGCGGTATCGATGAAATTGCCGCCATTGTCAAAATAAGCATCAAGTAGCTTGAAGCTGGAGTCCTTGTCCATAGCACCCATACCCATCGACGCCCAAGCGGAGGCATCCCCGATACTCATGGCGCCGAGTTGGAGGGGCGAAACATGTATTCCCGCGGTGGGGGAGAGTTTCCTGTAGACGCCGAGCTTCGTGGGGGGAGCGGGGGCAGGCGCGAAGAACGACATGGCGCGTTGTTGGGTGAAACTTGGGGAGAGTGGTGCGAAGGAGATGTGTTCCTGGAGTTATCGATACCGCTGGGCTAGAATTTTATACCCCCAGCTCCCATGCTTTCACTAAGCGATTATCGAGTGAAGCATATAGTCGTCGACGTCAGATAGATTCTCTTGAAAGTCATGAGGCCTTGAGAAGCACCGGCTCAGGGTGACGCGTTGATACTAGCATGCTAGCACTCGGCGGAATTTTTCTTGAGATTTGTAAGGGTTTCTTGACGCTCGGGTTGTAGATAGTCGCCGCTTGCTATCTCCAATTATAAAACGGGAATGCGACATGTATCTTGCGCGGTGAGAGTTTGAGTAGGGCTCTGACTCGGACCCGTCCGTCTTTTGGACGGATAAACGGACCAGAGTGCCGTCTTTCCCGCTTTTTGGCCGGAAACGGACGGAATGGACGGATTAGAGCCCTAACTGTTGGAGAACAGCCAACATTTACCGAGCCTTGGTAGGTCCAAGGCCCAGACCGAACAATTCAGTCTCTCCCTCATTTGACCACACTCCGACGACTGAACGCCTCGAACCTAGAGAAGACATGCCAAAGCCATTGGTGGTACGCAACGAGTACCTTGGTTGTACCGCGTGCTCTGATTGGCTAAGTTGGCCAAATTTGAAATAACCCGCCCAGGATGTTTACCGAAATTGGCGTTGGTCCGTTGGACAGCTTACGATGTTCAACGAACTCATCCGCCGGCTCACCTGAACAGTTGCGACGTTCATTCGCGATTCCGCCGCTACTAGTAGCTTCTCAACAACCGAGTCTGAGACCTTACGCTCAGCCGCGTCTACCTGCTCTTGTAGCACCTTGAGACATAGCACGGACCGTGTGGTGAAGCTTTTGCGAAGCACCGCTTGTTCGTTCTTGCAAAGAACACGGTGGACCCAGACAAAATGCAGCAGCTCTTCTGCAGGCGGCAGAGGGTGTCTCGGAGATGACGACGTTCATGTTGTGAGGGGCAAGATGCTGGACGGAGAGAGTCGTAAGTAATCAAGGAATTCAGCTTCAAGAATCAAAATTCGGAAGGCTCACGAGAGCACAAGAGATTTGAGGTCATTGTACTCGTATTTGCAGGAAAAAGGGTTGTTTGGAAGGGTACGGGAGCTTCATCTGCATTCATTGCAGTTTGGAAATATGGCTGGATTGGGGTGCCTGAGCGAATGTGGGTCAAGTTGAGTTCAGAAAGGGACTAACATCAAAAAGCAAACAATGCTGGCACACGATCAGGTGATCAAGAGTTCAATTCGTCCTTCAAGTTCTTCCTCGAAGCTTTGCCGTTTCCGTTGCAGGGAAATTTCATCGCACAGTTCTCCTTTATGAATTGCGGCTTCCGACAGCCACCGATAGGCAAGGAGGCGGCTCGCGGATGCTGACCGGACCTCGGGGTTCAACGTTCAACTTCCACACGCTTTCCAACAATTGGTCACTGAAGGCGCAGAATATTGGCCGGAGGTGTACAAGATGTGAGCTCGGATATCTCTTTCGGGTACCTGAACATCTCCACTTGTTCGAACTCAAATTTGAGGCGTATTATCACTGTATACTGCGACGATCGAATATTCCCATCAAAATCAAAGAAATTCAGTAAAATCGATTCCCCTCGTCCCAGCCTTGTCCCTGCTGATCTCACAGGTTTACCAGCGTTCTCCCCTCTCCTATACACACCCTCAACCTCTCTCCTGCCGTAATACCTCGCACTTTCATCGTATACTATGGAAATCGAACACTCCCATCAAAATCGAAGAAATTCAGTAAATTCGATTCCCCCTCGTCCCAACCTTGTCCCACACGATCCTAAACGTCCATTTACATTCTCCCCTTCCCTATACACACCCTCCAACCCTCCACTGCCGTAATACCGCGCACTTTCATCAAAATTCGTTGAAAACGCGATTTCTCGCTTGTTTTTGCTTTTCCTTGATTCCTTTTTGAAGATTCCACTTCTCCCGCACCTACCTAGCTTCCTATAGTCCGTATTAACGGTCCGATGGTGTAGTTGGTTATCACTTCTGTCTAACAATCGCCCTTTATCTGCTATGGCCGGTAAAAAGATTTGCATTGTTCACAGGCGGTCCTCAGTTCGAACCTGGGTCGGATCAGTTTTTGCGTCGTTTTACGACTCCCCCAACCTTTTTGAGTCCGTCCGAAAGTGTTCCGGAGCTCTGGTTGTCATGGGAAACGTTTTCTCGAAGATCCGGAAGATCCTTGTCAAGCACGCGAAAACCTCATTAATATTCCGTTTCGACACCTGGAGCTCATGTAGCACCTCATTAGGCATCCTATGCATGTTAGAATTAGTCCCGTACGCGTTGTGGCGGACGGGGGAACGTCGAAAAGTAAGATGGCGTTGTGTTGCCTTTTTAGGATTTGGCCCATTCAACCAACATTCAACAGCCAACACCAACGGTCATTTGGACTTTGTGTCTTGCGAATCTCCTTAGGTACTGTATCCCACTGGTAAGCATGTGGCTGAACTACTTGCATACTATAGTGTTCGCTGCCGATTTTGGTTTGAACCATCTGAATCTACACCATCGGACAGCCCAGGCTTCACTTCCAACATCGTTATATAACATTTTATTCTCACTTCAATTTATCAATGAATTCATGCATAGTCGTCAGTAGGAGCCTGTTGAAGCATGACGCACTCTTTTTTTTTGACTTCACGCCTTGCTTCACGCTGCAAACTTGAAAATGATGTCCAAAGGTGCAAATGCTGTGCAATTTGGTCCCGATGCGATAACCAACTACACCATCGGACATGCCAAGGACATGCACCATTTTCCTACAACCCATCCTCGTCCTGAACTTTCGCATAACTCTACATCGCATAGCCCTATGGCTGCTCTCCCGGGCCTCCAATAACACACTGGAACCCGTGTGGCATCTGAAAATCTGGCCGTACCCAAATGCAGTCCAAATGCGCTGTCCGCCGTAACTGGCCTTGCCTGAAGCCTACTACCATTTCAATCTGTAGAAACTGTCGAGCAGAGATCTACTTACTGTCTAGGACAAGCTTCGCATTCGTCTAGTGGTTCTATAATTACGCTCGGGTTGAAGCCTGGCGAGTCGTTGATGAGACAGACTCATATGCATGTCAATGAGTATCGTCACTTATAGGGATATGTACCCCAACCCTCGTTCGTTCAAATCCGACACCTGGAAGCAATCGAAATCTCGCTGCTCGCGTCCTCAACTCCTCCCGGCTTCTACTTGGTTGTACCATTGGAGCTAGACTGTGACATGGCAGGCACTACTGAAGAGCTGCTTGACGAGCTCCGCCGGGACTTCGGGAAGACCTAGTCTCGTAACAAGACTTTAGATACTCCTTTGAAGATAGTCGTTCAAACGTATATAAAGGGAAGACCGGGCTCGGGCACGAATTTGGGAGTGCGGCGAGGATGCTTGGCGCCGGACTCGGCGGCGCGGGGGAGCGTGGCGGCGGCGGCAAGAGAGACGACCGCGAGAAGGGAAGCGATGGAGCGGGAGAGCTGCATGTTGGGGACTTTTTGGACGGTGTGGCTCAGTCTGTGATCGTGTTTTTGCTTTTCTCACCACAATTGGCCTCTTGTACTGATCGTCTCCAGTCGCCCCGAGGACCGAAATGCGCCATTTGAATCCCTACTGGAAGCTGAATGAACTCTTTGCACACACACAAGTCCTTGAGCACCGGGCGATCGACCCGTTAATTCTCGGCCTCCGTCGTTTCTCGACTCGGTCGAATTTGTGGGAGTCTCTGCTATCTTTCAAAAGTCTTTGTGCATCCAGCGTAGCGTGTGTGTATGGGAGAGATGGCTGCCAGAACTGGCTACAACTGCGACACTGCGACCGAAAACAAAAGTCTTGCTTAACTTGAAGTAGCAGCCTAGCGCCAGTGGACGATCGCCTCCTCGCCTACGCATGTCCGACATCTGCCGGCGTATTACTTGCTGGGTTTCCTGACCGCACAAGCTCGGCACGCTCAGCCCTACCCCGAGTTGGGCCCAGGGTAGCTCAAATCGCAGGACGCGCTCCGTATGTTCGCGGGGCGGGTGATCCCAAAAACACTATAAAACTCATTCGAACTGCTGGGTTTCCTTCATTCCTTTCTCCCGGCTGGCCCACTTTCATTTTCTTCTTTGCTTGCTTTTCTCCCTGCTTTCACCAATTTGCCTTGTTTCCCTTTTTTCACTTTTTTTTTTTGTTGACGCCACGCTCACTACCGCGCCATGAAGATTCCCTTCTCCTTCCTCTTTGTCATTCTCTTGTCTGTCGAAACTTTTGCGGCTCCGGTACCCAATGATCAGGTTGGAGATGAATTCGTGCGTCATCGGAGATTTGTAAAGACATTGAGACTGAAATGCAAGTTAATTCTAGGCGCTCGAAGTTCGCGCGAAGGCGAAGAAAGTCAAGCCTGCGAAGAAGCCTGTAGCCAAACCGGTCGTGGTATGTCTGTGTTCACAGCGGAGTCCTTTCCTGTTCTTACTCTGAGTTTCAGAAGAAGCCGGCTGCGAAGCCCGCCACTAAACCCAAACCCAAACCCGCTGCGAAGCCTGCTAAGAAGCCGGTTGCGAAACCTGCTACGAAGCCCATCGCGGTAAGTTCTATCCCTGCCGACTTCTTACCTTGCTCATCATAGCGTATACCTCAGAAACCCGCTGCTAAACCGGCGGCCAAGCCAGCCGCCAAACCCGCTGCAAAGCCTGCAGCCAAGCCCGTCGCCCCCAAGAAATCCAAGGCTGTCAAACCAGCGACAAAGACCACTGTCGTCAAAGCACCCAAAAAGTCGAAAGCCCCGAAGAAAACTGCCCCTCCCAAGGTTCACGGCAGTCGACATAAAGGGAGCATGTTCATCACTCACCCTGCGTTTCAGGCCTCCGCTGCTGCCGCATGCACGCTCCCCAAGACAGCCAGCAAGGAAAAGACTAGCGCTGCGTCGAAGGTGAAGACAAAGGCAAGAAGCGTGTTCGACGCCGTAACGCGCGAAATCCGCATCGCAAATCGCACATTATTTGGTCTGCTGAAACCCCGTCTTACGAATGGTAACGAGTTTGTTGGATGGCATGGCACGAACGAGGTAATGTTTCGTAGATCTTTGTCTCGCAACCTGAGCTGACTTGCTGCAGGAAACCGCTGCCCTCTGGGAAAGCAAAGGGGAAATCGTGCGTCCTACGACCAAGGAAGGACAAACGAAGGGAAAATCAGGATTGGACGCCGAGCTTGGCAATGGGCTCTACATTTCAGATACTCTCAGCGTGTGCGTTCTCTGTTTTTTCAATTTTCCATTTGCTCCCTCAGACAATCACACCTCGTTCAGCGCCGAAGCCGCAGCGGAAATCAACGCCAAGAACAATGGTCTCAAGGGCAAAGTCTGCGCCATCTTTGCAAAATCCTCCACCACCTACCGCTCCTCCCAAGACAAGGTCCAAATCCCCGAAATCATCCGTGGCAACTCGGACGTGAGGAGCAAGGAACGCGAATCGTACCTCATCAATCTCCCGACGCGCAATACGGGGAGCGTCAAAACGTCTCTCCTCCTGGGTCCGCTACCAGGCAACAACATCAACCAGATGCTCATACCAGAGAGCCAGAATCCCAAGTTCGAGGCGCAGTGCTTTGATTCTGAGAATCTCAATTCACCAGATGGGGCGGCGTTTGAGGCGTCGAATGGTGCGGTGCGTTGGCGTTTATTCTTTGCGTTGTTATTTCAGCGACGGTATTGACTGCGTCTGGCATGGCAGATCAAGTATACCGGCGCGTCGTTGCTGCGGAGTTGGAATGTTCGCAGGGAGGATATTGAGTTGGCAAAGGCCACTGTTGCGGCGATTGAGAAGAAACAGTGCGCGTGAGGAAGGAAAGGGTGCGGATCACGGGAAACTGCAAATTTTCTGTTACGAAAATAAGTGAACTATACATGAGCAGACTGTCCGTCGAATGATTCCATCCCACGAATCTTCTCGGATTGTTTAGGATGAGTTTCTGTATCTGGCAAGCCCTTGCGCAAACCCGAGAAAATTCAGGTCGTTTAGTCACGAAATTGAGGCTACAGTAAACACTTGCACAAACAATCCCTCTGTTGCTGCTACAACCTCTTCGTGAAAAACAATTACTTAGAACGACGTCTTGGTATCCAGGCTTGATTGGCGCTCGCGGTCGTCTTGTTCTGCCCGCTATCCCCGTTCGCGACGTTGAGCCTTATATTGCGGGGTGCGCGGAACAAAACTCTTGTGTCATTTTCGGGCGGGCAACGGCGGACCTCACGACCATACTCATCCCGAGTCAGACTCTGGCTACGGCGTCCTCTTGTACTCTTTTCCTTTGCTTTTCATCGTCTATGCTTGGAATTCAAGGAACTTCCATGGATCTTGACCTGTCACCGAATTCAATTCACTTGTGCGCCACTGGCGACTACTGGCGAACAATCACCTCTTCAAGCGGGATGTGTGGATGTTTGTGTTGTCAAGCCTATGAGACTCAGAACAGCCACTGCAAGGCAGTGAAATAGTGGCCTATGGCGACTCCGAAGGGGCATCAAATCCTCCTACAGCGCCGGCAGGTGAAACATCAGCGCTTCAGCAGTTGGAGGCGGAGGGCGCGGTCCGTATCTTCTACGCATGGTCTCGGGAGCAATAGCGAGGCACTATATGAACCCGAAATAGTTTTGTCGCATCTTATTCTCTTTCCTCTCCTCGGCTGGTCCTCCTTTTTTTTTCTCTGCCGCTCCGCTTTTTCTTCTTCTGCCGCCAAACTATCATTTATCTTTCGTTATACTGCCTAATCGCGTGTCGACGTCATCATGAAAATCCCGTTCTCCGTCCTTTTCGCCGTTCTTTTGTCTATCGAGACTCTAGCTGCACCGTTGCCTAATGCTCAGGCCGGGGATGATTTTGTGCGTCGTGCCTCTTGCGGTGTATACAAAACTCATGCTGAAATGAAACCGTAGGCGCTCGAAGTTCGGGCAAAGGCGAAGGCAGCAAAGCCTGTAAAGAAGCCCGTAGCTAAACCGGTCGCTGTATGTCTTGTCTTGCCCGAGAATCTGTTCCTGTTCTCACCACATGTTCAGAAGAAGCCAGTCGCAAAGCCTGTTGCGAAGCCCGCTGCAAAACCCGCTGCAAAGCCT